CGTGCGGCTCTGTTCTTCCGAGTTTGGTTGGAAAACTGCGCACAATGTTCACAGGAGTCTGGCTTGTGGGTTTCCCCAAGACAGAAAATACAGTACTTGTGGCCGTCCGGAGGAGCCAATTTACTTCCACAAGTACGACAACGGTTGAAAAATCCCCACTTTTTTGACTTTTTTTGTCTTCTTCTCCATAGACTGAGGAGAAAAAGACTAGCGACAAGGAGGGGGGGGCAGTGGCCCGAAGGCCTGAGGCAATTTTACCTCAGACGACGAAAAACAAAAAGTCTCCTTTTTTTGTCAAAACACAGAAAGAAAGAGAAACTGAAGAAAAACTGAGGCGAAAAACGAGAGCTAATCACTAAAAAGTGATCCAAAAGCAGCGATCCGGCCAGACTTCTCGAAGAAAGGTCTGCTCAGCGTGGCGGAAAGGAAAGAACTGGCGGGATGTCCGTGCCTGCCCTTCTGGGCATGCTCACTGGGGCTCCTGAGCATGCTCAGTTGGGCCAGGCACGAAAATCCTTTTAAGAGAGCTTGCTAGGCACCGGCAGATCCAGCGCAGGCGCACTAGATCCCATTGGTGTGAAGCACAGAGACCACGAAGAAGATCAACAAGTTCCCTTAGGGCACTCAAGGAAGTGATGGTCTGCCCTCTCCTGAAAAAAATCTTCTTTGGACCTGGCTGAATTGGCGAACTATCGGCCGGTGTCCAATTTGCCCTATTATTGAGAGGGCTGTGGCGTTACAGCTGCAGGGCTTTCTGGATGACGCTTCCGTTCTAGATCCTTTCCAGTCCGGCTTCCGCCCGGAGCATGGGACAGAGACAGTACTGGTCGCTCTTACTGACGACCTCCGAAGGCATCTGGATCGGGGCGGTGTTGCGGCACTGTTGTTGCTAGATCTGTTGGCCGCGTTCGATCCGGTCGACCACCAGTTGCTGACCCACTGCCTTACCGATGTAGGGATTCAGGGGCTCGCCCTTCAATGGCTTGCCTCTTTTCTCCAAGGTCGGGGACAAAGGGTGGCGATAGGGGAACAGCAGTCCCGGAGACATCCTCTTGAATGTGGGGTGCCTTAAGGGGCGGTGCTTTCCCCAATGTTGTTTAACATCTACTTGCGCTGAGGTATGGGCTTGGGTGTCATCAATATGCAGATGACACCCACCTCTATCTCATGTTGGGCGGCCAGTCGGACTCCAGCCCAGAGGATCTGCACTGGGTGTTGAAAGCCATGGCTGACTGGCTCTGACTGAGTCGGCTGAAGCTAAACCCGGCGAAAACAGAGGTCCTGGGCCTGAGTCGGGGCGGTGCAGGGTTGGGGCTCCCTCTCCCGACCTGCGATGGGGCGCCTTTGGTGCCAGCACCGGAGGTTAGGAGTTTGGGAGTGCTCCTGGACTCCTCGCTAACTATGAACGCCCAGGTGGCAGCCACGGCTAAGTCAGCCTTTTACCATCTCCGGCTGGCTCGGCAGTTGGTCCCCTTCCTCAACCGCAAAGACCTGACCACAGTGATCCATGCGACGGTCACCTCGAGGTTAGACTACTGTAACGCTCTCTACATGGGGCTGCCTCTGTTGCAAATCCGGAAGCTGCGGCTGGTGCAGAATGCTGCAGCCAGGCTTTTGATGGGCCTCCCTAGGCGGGAGCACATCCAGCCTGCACTGAAAGCGCTGCACTGGCTGCCAGTAGCGTACCGGATTCGCTTCAAAGTGCTGGTTCTTACCTTTAAAGCCCTATATGGCCAGGGTCCAACATACCTAAGGGACTGCCTTTCCCCATATGTTCCTCAACGGGCACTACAGTCAGGGACGCAACATCTCCTGGTGATCCCAGGCCCCAGGGAGGCCAGGTTTGCTGCAACCAGGGCCAGGGCCTTTTCGGTGGTGGCTCCTACCTGGTGGAATGAGCTCCCGGAGGAGATCCGGGCCCTGCGGGACCTTGCACAGTTCCGCAGGGCCTGCAATACGGAGCTCTTCCATCAGGCTTTTGAGTAGGAGCCACCACTACCACCACCTTTACCATCCCTACTTGTACCATCATTGGCAACTGGCCCTAGGAGGAGTGAACAACAGCGATGCATGGAGCTGATACCACAGAACTGGGAGTACCATCTTCAAGATGCCACCTTTTATTGAAGACCGATTGAAACATCTAGAGCACTTTGAAAGATTGTAAATGACTATTTTTATGTTGCTTTTACCCTGTTTTATGTATTGGCATGTGCCTTATCTGTGAGCAGCCCTGAGCCCGCTTGCGGGGAGGGAGGGCTATAAATTAAAACAATAAAATAAATAAATAATAAAAGCATAGGAAAATAATCACCACCACCAAGGATTCTAGACATTTTTTTCTGATTTGAGTGCAGCCTCCATTTAACCCAAGTAGCTGGTGGAGGTCCTCATTCATTCATTCATTCATTCATTCATTCATTCAACTGAATTTCTAGCCTGCCCTTCCCTACATAGCAGGGCTCAGGGCAGGTTACAACAGTAAATGTATACAATAAGTTAAAACAATCAAAACACAATCTACACAATATTTAAAAACGTATACAGGATCAAATAGTACATAAGATGGCAATCAGGGACAGTTAGTAATGCCCCCAGAGAACTTTCAGTATGTATGCCCACAGATGGAACCAGGTATTGTGAAGGTGGCAGAGAACAACAAACAGATAGTGCCACATAGATGGCGCAAAAGTGGGGCAGGGGAGGCCGATGGAGTTGGATCTCCGCCACCTCAACCATAGGCCTGGCAGAATATCTCCATTTTACAGGCCCTGAGGAATTGCAACAAATCCCACAGGGCCTAATCTCACTCAGGAGAGTGTTCCACCAGGTCAGAGCCGGAGTCAAAAAGGTTCTGGCTCTGGTCGAGGCTAAGCAAATCTCCTTTGGACCAGGGACCACCAGCAGATATTGATCTATGGAGCATAAAGCTCTTCGAAGGACATATGGGAAGAGATGGTCCTGCAGATATGTTGGTACCAGACCGCACAGGGCTTTAGAGGTTAATACCATAACCTTGAACTTGATCCAGTATTCAACTGGGAGCCAATGCAACTGGCAGAGCACTGGTTGTATGCGCACTCTTAAAGGTGTCCTAGAAAGAACACGCGCTGTTGCAATTTAGACAAGCTGAAGTTTCCAGGTCAGACTCAAAGGCAGACCTGCATACAGTGAGTTACAGTAATCCAGTCTGGAGGTGACCATTGCATGGATCACTGCGGCTAAGTCATAGGGAGAGAGATAAGGGACCAGTTGCCTGACCAGCCAAAGATGGTAAACATTCTGGCAACATTCATGATTTGGTCCTCCTTAGACAGAGAGGCATTCAGAAACATGCCCAAACTCCTCACCATCGGCATTGGCATTAATAATACCCCATCAAGGGTTGGGAGTTGGATTCCCAATCTCATCCCTCCATGGCTCAAACATAGGACCTCCATCTTTGTTGGGTTCTATTTCAGTCAACTCTGTTTTAACTAGCCAGCCGCAGCTTCCAAAGACCTGGCCAAAACATCTGGGGCAGTATCTGGCTAGCTGCCCATCAGCAGATACAGCTGGGTGTCATCAGCATATTGGTGGAAACCCAGCCCAACCCCCCAGACAAGCTGGGCAAGAGGGTTCATATAGTTCCCCTACAGAAACTATCCACCACTAACAAGGGAGCTTTTCCCTCATGCAAGCAGCCTGTGGCAGAATCTCATATGACACAACAAAGCCAGCAAGCTCTTTTACATGCAGTAGGCGCTACATAAATAAACTGTTCCACTGTCTTGCACGTGGCCTTAATTTCCTGTCCTAGCTTTTGCATATTAATGCATGGAAATAGAACAGCAATTTCCCCCTCTTTTGTCATAGCTTTTGCTATGCAATCCACCCTCAGACAGTCTGAATAATAATTTAAAAAGTCAAATAAAGCTGAACAGAATTCCAATTTGTAAACAAGATATGGGCTTGGATCCTAAGGTGCTGATTTATTGGCCTGGCACCAGCTCCTCCAACAGAACAAGTCTCCCACCTACAAATCCTTCAGATATGTGAGGAGCAAATGCAAGATAATCTTCAGATATGTGAGGAGCAAACACAAGATAAAAGAGGTGATGGGCCCACTGTTAGGTGAAAATGGAGAAACTCTGACAAAGGACAGGGAGAAAGCAGAAAGCCTATTTTGCCTCAGTTTTTTCCTTGAAGAACAGGTTAATCTAGAGATGGTAGTAGGCAAGGCATGGTGTCCAGGCTGCTGGTTGACATGGGCAGAGGGGTAGTTGAGAAGCACCTGGCTGCACTGAATGAGTACAAATCCCCCAGACCAGATGGTATGCACCCAAGAGTGCTCAAAGCACTTTCTAGAGAGCTTGCAGAGCCTTTGTCCATCATCTTCCAGACCTCTTGGAGGACAGGAGACGTGCCACAAGAATGGAGGAGGGCAGATGTTATCCCAATTTTCAAAAAAGGGAGGAGGGATGACCCAGGAAACTACAGGCCAGTCAGTCTGACCTCTGTCCCAGGGAAGATACTGGAGTAGATTTTAAAGGGATCAATCTGTGAGCATCTAAAGGACAACTTGGGTTACACTTGTGCTGCTTAAGGTCCAAGCCATAAATCATGAAGTTAAACTTACACTACTATCATTTTTTCCCAATTACCTGAAACAATGTCCATGCCTGCAAAAAAGAGCTCTGAAACCACATCATGGATTTCTAATTCATCAGGAACAGGAGGACTAGGGATCAGAGTCCTCCTATTTCTATCAAACAGAGCTTCCAGGATAGCAAAAAAATGAGATGAATTACAGTCAAAGAGTTCCAGAAGTAGCCGTTCTGTGATCGTACGAGGCCATGGCAGCTAAATTAAACCAAAAATAAAACATCAAGGATCACTTACATTTCAAATAAACCATTATCAATACCCCAACAGTAAGTAAATTCTTCAAGGCTGAAAGTCATTCTGTACTATTATGGTAGGTGTCAGTGTTCAAAGAAACTTATATAAATTATTATATTTAATTAATGTTCTTCAAGGAAAATTTATTTATATTGTATTCATATAGGGCACTGTAGGTCACTGCAGAAATCATCCCAAAGAGTGTATGCATCCATGCAGAATCATAAAACCAACTATTAAACACAAATCAAAAAACTGGCACAAAATGACACAACTTACATATTGTGCTTCTCTTAGATTAGTTTTCAGTCTTGGTCGAAGAAACCCTTTTGGCTTTCTTCTGGGTTCAAATGCAGATCTTTTGAAGATCATTGTGGCCATCTAACCCCAAGAGGTAGAGGGGAAAGTAGAAATGTTTATATTACCGTATCTACCTGTTTAAATATACAATTTTTCATAAAATATTTGTACCTTCACAGTGGCTTCTTTGAATATTTGCTTTGTTTCCACATGTAATGATGAAGAACTCAGGTTTTCCATTTGTTTTAGTTCATCGATTTTGCTCAGACCACGGCGTGCAAATACCTACAGAATAAATAAATGTATGAGTGCGTGTGCATGTATGTGTAGGAAGTCCAATAGGAGACAGCAAAGCTGAGAAGATTATAGTGGAGCAGGTCCAGTCAATAGTGGTGACAATCAAAATCTAGATGACTATTCTATGATTAAGTGCTTAAAACTGATACAGATAACCAAGAAGGGAGAGGGAACACCTACCAGGGAGACTGATTAACGAACTGGAAAAGAGGTTGGCTAGAGACAGGATATGAAGGAGCATTGTGAGGTTAAAGACATCATCTGGCAACCAAACATAGACACAATCAGCCATAAATATATGGAAAAGGAGCAACTGGTCCCTTATCACAGCAGAATCTAACAATATCCTTTATTCAGCAGACTTCATGATACCAACAGCTGATACTCAAGGACAGTTTTGACTAACATTATTTTTCTGTTTTGCACAAAGAACAAAGGGAAGAAAAGAACAAAGGGAAGAAAGCAGTCTTTGCACCGATCTTAATAAAAGTTCCTAAAAGCAGTTTATTTTCCCATGATCTTGTACAAGTTGTAATACAAATTAAAATATGTTTGACAAATGCAAATTGCTACCTCTCCGTGAATGCCCAACTGGCAGTCATAATAACACTGGCAAACAGCAGCATAAAGTGTGGTTCTCCATGTCAAGTAATGCACAGCTAAAATTGGAACTGATGACTCCATACATACACAGGCCCACAGTAAATATTCTAGCACCTGTTAAAGAAAATACAACTCTTAACTTAAATGTCATATTCTACAACAGATAATATTAATTTGATTAGTTCATATCATATAATTATATATTTATAATTAAATTATATTAAATGGTAGCTTTATGCAATTGTACTACAGGAAAATGCTATTTACGCTCAAAAACTGAAATACAATCTGACTTTGTTTTTTAAAAAATTAAATTTGATATTCATGTGCTGAAACTTGATTTAAATGTGCTGCAGGCTGAAGCAAAAACACTTTCCCATGGGACTGTGTACTTGTAGTGTCCTATTTAAACTGGGCTGCTACCTGTGCAAAGCATTTCCGCATGCTGTATAGTTCAAGTAGCCACCCATCTTAAATGAGGATAGTGCAGTGCAGGATAGTGTTTTTCCCCAATCAGCATTATATTTAAATCAGACTTGAATTGGATGCTAAAATAGACAAACATAGCACAGGCTTTAAATAGCCACTTGCCTAGTCTCCAGTGATAAGGAAGACTCTCAGCCAGGTGACCAAGCAGGGAAGAGTTTATAAACTGGAAGAAAATGTGTTCCTTTTATTTTCTTGCAGTCAGGCCTTCAGTGCATGACATACATTAAAATGCTAATACGTAGGCAAATGGGGTAGACACTTTTGTGGACATTGTTTGCCAGGCTTATTTTTTTATTTTCAACACACCTATCACTGACTTTCTAAGCATACAGTTTTCAGATAACCATGTGTTTACAAGTCAAATAACTGTTTCACTATTTTAAAAATCCACTTGATGGCACTACAGCTTAACTTAAAATCATCCATCTCAGAATGAGACACATTACATTCAGATTGCAAATTTATTATCAAATATAGTTATTTGCACTGTTTGTTATTCTAAAATCAAAACACTAATCGATATTTACCTGCTTGTATAACTTCCTTTGATTTTCATCTAAATTTTGGGTTGAGTACAAATCATACAAAATACTAACTAGTAAGGTTTGTATGGCTTGTATGTACAATATAAAGTTTATATATCTTTATAGTTCAGTAGCAAGACAATCAACTAATATACTGTCTAGCTCAAAACATCTCAAACGCTACTCTGAGCAAGCTCAAGGACATTTTCATGTATTTTTCTGTATTTTTTAAACTTTTCCCCTCACATAATAGGAGACCTTCAAGCCATGTCACAAGCACTGTCTGCTTCAATCTTAGCATATTAAACGTTTTACTATGCAGCCTCAGGGGCGTCTGAGAAATACAAACACAAAGACACCTGGAATTAGTCGCATATTTCTTTGGATACTAGTTCCTCCATCTCTAAGATCCAGTCTTATAGCCAATTACAGTGGATTCTTCTATCCTTTTCAGTTCTTCCTAAAATAAACTTCATTCTCTGAGTATGCAACGTCATGTCTTAATTGCAGATAAAAAATTATTTTAGATTTTGCAGACATAATGCTGGTATCACCTCATCATTAAAGTCTGCACATTCTGAATAAAATAACAGACTGAAACGATCAGCCAATTTAATCACAAAGAAAACCAGAACTGTAGAAGGGAACAATCTGGGATGTTACAAAAGCCCTGGAGCAAGCCAGCAGTCCACCAGGAACTTACTTGAGAATGATCCCATCAAATTATGTGCGCCTACTTCTGAATAACACACTTAGTCTATAATGGCATGGTCACTCAGTTGATTTTATGATCTATTGTATATGCACAATAGTTTCATGTGCTTGTTTTTATATATACTGAAGGAGAATGAGAAAAACAAACCCTACAATCAGGAGTGGACTGGTACTCTAACTTGAGGAGAAGCACTCTTGAGTAAGTTTTATACAAAATTTGTTTACAGAACTATTGCAAAACAAGAGCTGTATGCAAGCTGTGACATGTAGGAGTATAGATAAAGCATGAACTGTGGACGCAAAATCTCAACTTACTTAAAAAAAAAATGTATCCCTGACGGCTGCAAACATATATCTGAAAGTATGTAGGCAAAGCTAGCTGAAATCTCAGAAAATAAGGAGCAAACAAGAAGTCCAGGGGTTGTGGGTGGAGATACATTGCCCATACATAGCATCTTGCTCCCCCCTAGGGCTCACGGAATCAGAATAAACTATGTTAAATAGTAAAAATAAAAATATAACAGAACAAGAGAAATGCAAATTTGCATAATGTGTACAGGCCAAAGAATTCAGCTTTTCTTGGCATTTTTTAGCAGAAGACAAACATTGCTGGCAATTGGGTTTAAGGTACTTGTACCTGAAAGGTGAATTTTCTAAAATTCTCTTCAAAACTTTTATTTTAAGGTAGGAAACCACTACAAGTTTTTTAAAATCCCATGGAGAAGACCTGAGCTGTTCTTCTGACCATATGGGTCTGCTCACTAACATAAAGCCCAAGACACACATACGCACACACTCTCTCTCTCTTTCTCTTTCTCTTTAAAGAGGCTACACCCAAAAAAAATCTAGAGTGGCCACTAATTTAGCTCTCATGACATTTGTTTTGACATACGATTTGAAGACAGGTATTTATCTTGCCATACCTTAGCAGATTGACCAACAGTCATCAAATGTCTACATATGGTATACACATAAATCGTACCTGCAAGGACAAATATATTATTTTAATATACTTAAACATATATATGCAAAACGCAGTGGGAAGCAGAAAGCAGAGGTCATTTAAACCAAACAGCTCAGTGGGGAGAGCCCCGCCGGTCAGTTGTTTGGTTTAAATGGCTGGAAGCCATTTAAACCCCTGCTTTCTGCTCCCTGCAAAAGGCCAAGGGGAACAGAAAGCTGAGTGGCAGGGAGCTCCCCATGCTCAGCTATTTGGTTTAAATGGTTTCCTACTTTCTGCTCCCTGCAGCTTTTTGCAAGGAGCAGAAAGCAGGGGTTTAAACTTTAAATGGCTCACAAACTGATGCAACCCAGGTCAGTTTGCAAACCAACCTCCTGGTTCATATGGGTTCATGGTTCAGCTATGAACAGAACTGCAAAAATGTGATTTGTGCCCATCCCTATATATATGCAACATGCCCAACACTTGCATGAGCCCTGCACTGCAGGGGAGGGCAGGATAAAAATCCAATAAAATAAATATTAAATGGTTGAACAATCTCATAAAACCATGCCAACTTTTTAATGATTGAAGTAGTCCTGGTTTATTTCTAAGCTTTAAGAATTAAACTTTGTCCCCACACAAAAGTATTTCATGCTTATTCATATTAGTTTTTAATTTAACGGATTTCTACATTGTCAGTACACATTCGTTTGAATTGAAATTATCCCTGAAGTATGCATACTGAGCAATACTTTGCTTTATAGCAAAAGCTCAACACAAAAGGTAACAAAAAATAGCAAAATTAAAATTTTTCATCAGTTTCAGTCTAATTTTGGAAAGTACTCCACAAAAGTAAAAGCTCTTCATAACCTGGAGGATTTACTCAAAGACTTTTTCTTGTGGCTTAAAGCGGAAATTATATTTAAAAGTGCATCTGGAGAGGAAAAGGAGCAACATACCATTATAGACAATCCAACACAAATGCTCATGTGGCAGAGTGATCTGCATGATGAGTCGCAATATGGACAAGACTGTGAAACATGTCTTCAAAGACTCCTGATTCAGAAGATCCATATCACTGTTACATACGATTTTGTACATACAAACATTCCTTGCTTGCAACACATGGAACTAAAATGAATTACAATACATTAAGGTGAAGGAATGCTTCAAATCAGCACATGAAATTTACACCTCCTCCCTAACTAACCTCCTTAATTTCATAGCTGTTTAATCAACAGCCTTCCCCTTCTTCCCTGTCTCTTCATTTTTTCTTCAGAGATGGCTCACATGACAGTTTGCTGGTAGTCCAATTATTTCAATCAGCACCCAAACCAAGGGCCGCTGATTACTAAGCCCTGTGGCAGCAGACCTAATGCATTTGCCTCAACCTTCTGACTTCTTCCAGTAAGGGTACCAGATCCCGTCTCCCTCATACATATGTGTTCATCTGTAGTTGCCAACAGTGTTCCTATGAACCACCACATCAGCCTGTTTCTCTTGCCCAACTTTTTTGCCAACACTCAGGCTCTTGACTCTGTCAGACCCGGATTTGTTTGTCCTTAATTTCTCTCTAGTTCATCTCCTGTGTCCTTCCTTTCCTGGGATTCTGCTTTTTCCAAATACTCAGTATTTACCATCCCTTTTCTTCCATATAGTGCTTAATCTGAGCACAGATTCACTAGGCTATCCCCAGAATCTTGATTTCAAAGTAGAAGAACTTTTCTCCCAGTCCCTGAGCAACTGCACTTTTTTCATGCAACTGTTGCTCATTGATCACAAGGGATCCAGAGGCACAGCTTCTATTGTAGAAACTCAAAGATTTTTTTTTACTTTCAAATGACCTGACAACTGCAATTTTTAATAACAGCAGCATTTTAAAGCTCTCCAAGGGAAGATTTGCTGCACTGCAACTGTATGAGTGAGCTGGTTAACCGCCCTTGGTCCTAATGAGGGAAATGCGTGGTGTGGCAAAAGGTATCTTCCCAGGGGAAAACTAGAAATCCGGCTGAATTAGACATAAAGGGGAACTGAGTGACAGTCTTAATAGATTTTAAAATCGTTATCAGAACATTTCGACATGTCAAAACGATAAAATAATTGTAATAACATTAAATAATAAAAACTAATGAAAAATCTTTGGTATGGCAGAGACAGAAACCATAAGAAGTGTAAAAGAATATTTAATGGAAGAACAAACAAGTAGGTTTCATTTTTTCATACTTGCATGAAGCTGCTGGTAAAATCTCAATTGTTTTATGAAATGTTAAGGCTTATAAAATGGGAATAAAGCTTATCTAGCAATTAACATCTTTATGGCAAACACTAAGCATCAGTTTGTATACAGCTAAACTAAAAAGTTGCTGTGCTGATACTTCATAAAATCCTTGCATGGAAGCTCTAAAATCTACTGAATACAAGCTCTTCGTATAGTGTTACCAAAGTGAATTGAAAATTTCTGAAAATTTCTACATTTGAAGAACAGATCTGACTATTAACCAAAGGATTTAATTTTTAGCTCTTTTGTTATTTGGTTCTAGAATGAGGACTGCTATATGAACATTATTTTAGACCATTTATGCTATTTTATACCATACCTTTTTAAATAGCTGTTTATTACTGACAGGGCTGTTTTTATGATTTTATTGTATTGATTTACTCTGGGAGCTGCCTCAAGCAGCACTCTGAAGAGGTGGCATACACATTTTCTAACTAAATACAAATCAACAATGTGAAGCATGTTTATTGGACATATAATGACAACTGGTTAATGCTAAAATAGTAAATTTCAGCAAAATAACATAGTTAAATATGTTAAACTTTCAGAATGTAGCCACGATGGTCTGCAGCAGAACAGATAGATTTTCAGGGTATACGTTTTCAAGAATCACACCTCCCTGTGGTATCTGATGAAGCTTTGACTCTTGACAGTTTACAGCCAGAAAAATATTGTTGATTGCTAACAATGCAATCCTAAGAATCCTAGGATTTTGAGTAGGCCTGCATAGGTTTGTATTGTAAGGTGCTAGTCAAGTCAAATCCAATAGTTTAAAATATATTTTGTCAATACTTACTGTAACTGCAGCTGTTTTATCTCTAACTCCATTTGGGAAAAAACTAGACTGAAATTGATGCACATCTAATTCAGGCATGTCGAGGTCTACGGCACTGACCTGTTGAAGATACTGCCCATAGCACTGTACAAGTGCCAGTTTATATTCCTGGAAACAAACACAATGAGTTGCACATGCATTTGCATTTTTATAAACTATCTGCTATAAAACATTTAGGAGAAAATACATCTGATCAAGAACAACCAATACACCAGTCTATAATGATGAGATAATGATGAGAGACGGGATCCCTGTAACTTGTGCTGAGCTGCAATTTTGCTACAGCATTTTGCATTACTTGAAGTTAAAATATCTTCCACCGTAATCCCACATAAAGTCAATTGCAGTCATCCATTCTGGATGTGGTCAGAGAATGGATAACCATGATCAGAAAGGAACACCCACAGCTAAAGCTTGGCAAAGGCACACATGGAATTCACTGCCACAGGAGGTGGCAGTGGCTACAAGCATGGATGGCTTCAAGAGGGAATTAGATTAACATATGGAACAGAGGTCCATCAGTGGCTATTAGCCACAAGGTATAGATAGGGGCTCTCGGTCTGGGGCAAGTGATGCTCTGTATTCTTGGTGCTTGGGGGGGGCAGGCAACAGTGGGAGGGCTTCTAGTGTCCTGGCCCCACTGCTGAACCTCCTGATGGCACCTGGTATTTTTGGCCACTGTGTGACAGAGTGTTGGACTGGATGGGCCATTGGCTTCTCTTATATTCTTAGGTTCTTATTGGGTCTCTCAGAAGAGAATTGTGTTTCCATTTATAATTCCAGATCTAACAACACCCATACGCTGCAAACCCATTCTGTTTGGGAAAATGCAACACTGCCCAAAACAGGTTTACTGCATACTCTTCCATACTGTCAAGCAACAGCATCTTAATCTTGCTGGATTCCACTTCAGTTTCTCAGTCTTCATCCAACCCATTACCACCTCCAGATACTTATTTAGGTCTTTGAATGCCTTATGTACCTCAGAGAAAAAGGCAAAGCAGAGTCGGGTATCATCAGCATACTGATGACCAGTGCTCCCTCTACGCTGAGTTAGTGTAAGCTAGCTCACAGTTTTTTAGCTTCCAGCTCACATGTTTTTGTCTTAGCTCAGGAAGGATAGCTACAAAACAAACTACTTTATGTAGTAGCCAAATCGCTCACTCACAACTTTAATCCCATTATAACTCATCAGAAAATAAAACTAGGAAAGTCAAAACTGAGCCACCAGCTTCAAGATAATCAGCAAACATTCTCTCCACCTCCCAGAAAACTCTGCAGAAAGGCCGAGGAGCTTTTTGCTGTGCCCTACCTTCCTTGCGTTCTCTAGTTGCTGCAGTCAGAACTACACGAGGAAAATGTTTTTAAAATGCCTTCCATGTGAATACAGCATGTCACTGGCCTCAAGGGCCCTCCAGCTGATTTGGGGGGCCCAAATTTGTCCTCCCAGGCCCCCTCTATCAGCAGCCTTGCTAATGACACCAAATTCTAAATCCCCAATCTCTTATACTGGTTTCATGTCAAACAACATGGAAGGCAATGCAGAAGTTCACCACACAAGTGCCACTAGACCCAGAAGATTTCCTCCAGCAACAATTTCCGATAGTGACCTCTCAGACAGGACCAGAGGCACTGGGATAGGGCTCCCTGTGGAGAAACTAGCTTTGTCTAGCCATTTCTTGGCCTTTCAAATTTTGGTTCAGGCTCCTCTCGGAGAAATTAATGTCACAATGACTTGCAGTTTCAAGAGAAATAAGGCATGAAATCAAGCTACACATACATGCAAGTGAAGCCTTCAAGGTCAGCAAACCTGAGGGAGTTTTGCACTCACATTCTATCTCACTTATACAAGGAACCCTGGGCCTCAGTGAGTCACTTAATTGTGAGTATGTGCCAGCTGCAGAAGTATGTAGCCATACATCATAGCAACACACCTGACTGGCCAAACAGGATCAGGCCAGCTGCAGGCAGTCTGGCATAAAGCAAGACCATTCATTCTAGTTTGGACCGCTTCGGCCTTCCTTCCAGCTATCCTTTTGATTTTAGATTGGGCCTTGTGCAGCCAGGATACTTGCTTCTTGTACTTCAGCATTCTGTCTGGACTCTGTGCCTTCAGTCTGACCAATTAACATCTGGATCAGAGGATTAAAGCCTAAATAAGTATTCTAGGATAGTTATTTAGTTTTATTATTTTTATTCCCTGCTTTACACTGCTTCTACATTTGTATACTTTTGCAAATGTCTTTTAATAGGCCTTATTAATTATGCTCCTGAGGTGTTATATGGGTTTTAGGGCTTCAATCTAAACCCAGTAACTTGGCTATAGGTAACCAGTAATTGTTTGTGGAAGAAGTGGGACCCCTGTATACATAGGTGATTGCTCCCTTATTTGCCTATTGCCTCGTGTAAAATCATATTTCCCCAAAGATCATCAATAATTTGAGGCAATCCAGCTAACACAGTCCTGATAGAAAAAATTTGCTTCTGAGCATACACAAGAGTGCCTTCACCATACCAATAAATAAATGCAGTCTCCTGTCTCCTTAACACACTTGATAAATTCCTGAGCAGCTTGTCACTAGGCACAGACTTAAGCAAAATTTTCAAATGCAAGAACTGACCACACCAATCACTTTCTTCCAGGAAAAACATCCTCTCCTGATTTTCTCCCCAACTTGCTTTGCCAACTTCCAACTACTTAAAAAACAAAGATGTACTTTTAAAACAGCTTCCCAGAACAATGAGAGAATGCAATTTAATTTTTTTAAAGCTGATTCTGATGTTCTATCAACAGGAGGGGAAAAAACATGAGTGGAGACCATGAAGGACACATGAAGAGTAGTTGGAGAATATGTATAGAGGATTCCCCACGGCTGGCCAGAGAAGAAGCCCCAAATTGAGGGATGAAGCAATGACAGAAAGGGTAGCCCACCTTGCTCCATGCCAAACCAAGAGGCCACCTGCATGACCTGTGTAGAGAAATGGCTCTGCCAGCAACTTGTGGGTATGACTGTGAAAAGCTATAATGGCATGAGCTGTTTATTGTTGTTCCAAACTATATCAGAAATAACAAAAGGAGAATTAGAAAAACTGTATACTGTGAAGAAATTTCTTGTGCTATATTTGTTTGAAAGCACTAGTAAAAAGAGGGATATAATAATGTTAACAGTTTTCTATTTCTCCTTTTGTATAAAAATAAACTGCTTTACAATTATGCACAGAGAGCATTGCTGCAACCATTTCCTGCTCAAATGAAAACCAAATACATAGCAGTGTTTAAAAAGGAAGCAACAACCATGTACAGTAATTAAAACTGCAAATGCCATTTAGACACCTGTACTGGATAAGATAACATGAGCTGTGAAAAGCGGAACAGAGGTTTAAAGAAACAAAAACAGGACATGGCTTTGATTATATAAACTTTGTGTTACCCACAAACAGGAATTTATTGGCACAAAAATTTCTTGCAATAATCTTCTCTAGCTTGACCATCTCAAGAGTTAAAATGTCACCTACTGAATCACCAATATTATCACTAAATTCTTATAACAAAAATGGAATAAGACTGACTTCAAAATGCTAAAATAAGTAATGTGACTATACATGTAACCTTGTCTTCTTTTCTCCTTCTACCAGATTTTTATAAGGATGGGAGAGTTTATCTTCTGATATTTAAACCATGTTTGCCATCTTGTCATAAATTATTATATTTCCTTTTCCAAATGTACCTTTATTACTGCTGGTTTAGATGAAAGTAGACAGAAATAAGTGAAAGTTAAGGCTGCCCAAAGCCCTTGCACAGAAAGTGGCCATGAGCTAAGAGGCCTACGCAGGCTGAAGGTAACAGAACTTATGTCACAACAGGACTCATTAGGTTAAAGAAACTGACTAGAAGGATACAAATGAGTCAGGATGAAAGAGAGCTATTACACACTCTACACCTGTAGTCTCTGACCAAACCCTATTAAGATTTATTTATTTGAACTATTCATTAGCCACTTCTGTTCTTACTTGTCCAATGGTGGTGGTGGTGGTGGCTGCTACTCTAAGGACTGCAATGCTCTGTAGAGTTCTTTGTTTACTACACATATTAACTAGATGTCATACACAAATAGCAGTAATGAAAAGCTGTAAGTAACAATTATATGATTAAGCTATTATTACGCAAACCGTCTATTGCTGGTACTATTTTTATTTGTGACTTCAGACTGCTTTTAGTCATGTGTTATCAAAATATGATAACTTCCAGAGAAGAACCCATTTCAATTTGTTGTAGCAAAGTTTTTTGTGGTATCTTAAACTAACAGATGTATTGTGTCATAAACTTTTGGTGATTCATTAGTATATGAGATTTCTATACCATCCTTCTTCTAGGCATACACTGCCATCCCTCCTGTTTATCCTCACAACTCTCCAGTAAGATACAGATTAGTCTGAGAGACAGTGAATGACAAGATCACAGGCAGACTAACTCTAAACATGTTTACTTTGGGTAATGCCCAACAACCACTATAGCACTTATTCCCAAATAAATGTGTGTTGAATTGCAACCCCAGTGAGTCTCGCAGCAGGATGGGAATCTGAACTCAGATCTCATCAGTCCTATTCCAACACACTAATAACAAAGCAACAGTGCATCTCCAAGGGATTAGAGCCCAGTTCAACAGATGCTTAATTTTCAGCAACAACAAAAAAAACCTTGTAAGCAATTATTCAACTTTTGATTCATGTCAAATGAGAATCCCCCCACAATAAAATACAACAGGAGCATATCTTACTTTTATTTCCATGAGCTGATCACCAACTTTCACAAGTTTTTCTTTGTAATACGAATCTGGAAATCGGTGTTTGTACTTGTTCCAAATATTAAACAAAGTTGTTGCTCTTTAAAAAAAATACATAATATAATGTTACAGACTAAATTATAGTAACAATCTTATCGTACCAAGTTAAACATGAGAAAAACCTGTTATGACATCTTTTTTTCAAGATTCCCTGAAATTCCCAAAATTATAAATACAATCAAAATTAGTCTGATTTGGTGCCTCTAAAATTATTTTATCATAAGATATCTTTCATATATTTGATATAGTTATTAAAATTTGTTTTGTTTTATTTATTATTTTATTATTTATTTCAGAGAAGCATGAAATACTGGAAGATGTCTGTTCTGCAAACCTTCTATTATATTTAAATAGCTCCATTGGATACAATGTAGAAATACCATTGGACTGAACTATAAGTAACAAAATCAGAAGAAGAAAAATATGAGAAGCAATAAAGCATTTCAGACAGCCATAAGCCACAGAGTGGTAAATACAGAAAGCAAAACAGATATAAGTCAATATAAAATAGTATCACATAAAGATAATGCTGAGTAGAAAACATACAGCTATTAAAGATACTGGGGATTATAGATGGGGGAATGAAAAATTATCACAATATATAAATACAACATATAAGCGAAGCAGCTAATAACAGCATCATCTTCTGAACCAGACTACTCATTCCACACATGGTTAAAAGCAAAAAAGAAAACAGAACTCCAGAATTGATCTCTTCTGATTACTATGCTTGTATTTACCAGAATTTAAAAAACTTTTTATACTGTTTAATCATTTTGATCTTCAGGACTGTTTATGTGGGCAGGGAGTGAGGATTTTCCCCATTCTAGAACAATTGGAAATCCCAAGAACTACTTCTGGAGAAAAGTATCATCCTGCGTCCTGAGAGCCAGCTTGGTGTAGTGGTTAAGAGCGAAAGACTCTAATCTGGAGAACCAGGTTTGGTTTTCCATTTCTCCACATGAAACTAGCTGGGTGACCTTGGGTCAGTCACGGTTCTCTCAGGACTCTCTCAGCCCCACCTACCTCACAGGGTGTCTGTTGTGGGGAGAGGAAGGGGATTGTAAGCCACTCTGAGACTCCTTCGGGTAGTGAAGAGCGGGGGTATAAAACCAACTCTTCTTCCATCTAGCATTTAATTTCCAATAGCTGAAGAAAACTAGTATAGCTGCACTCAGTCTCTCTATTGTAAAGACTGAAGACCAGCTGGAAAATGGTTCCAAGGGATCATGAATACTTCATACCAGTTAGAAAGCTTTAGGAGTCAGATGCAGCTGAGGCACCTAGACATAGGCAGGCCAGGTTTCCCACAACAGCAGGAAACCTCCAACCACTTCAACCCCCATTCTCCACTGGTACTTCCAAGGTTGGTGGAAGAAAAAGGGTTTGCCAGCACATGTCACTACTGGTAAAAAAAACAGAAGTGATCAGGGTGATGATCAAGGAGACATCAAAAAAGTGACACTACATCAGGGTGATGATCAAGGAGACATCAAAAAAGTGACACTACATCAAGGTGATGATCAAGGAGACATCAAAAAACTCTATAAACAGTAAAAAGGTAAAGGTTCCCTTGCTCAAAAGCCAGTCGAATCCGACTCTAGGGTTGCGGTGCTCATCTCCGTTTCAAAGCCGAAGAGCCAGCGCTGTCCGAAGACGTTTCCGTGGTCATGTGGCCGGCATGACTAAACACCAAGGTCCACGGAACGCCGTTACCTTCCCACCGAAGTGGTACCTATTTATCTACTTGCAATTTCGTGCTTTCGAACTGCTAGGTTGGCAGGAGCTAGAACTAGAGACAGGAGCTCACTCCGTCATGCGGCACACTCAGGTCTCGAACTGCTGAACTACTGACCTTCCACAGCCTGCAGTTCAGCGTCTCATCCACTTGAGCCACCGCAGCTCCTCTATAAACAGTATGCTTTTGTTATTCCCAATGCGGGCCCTGCTGCGTATGTCCAGTAAGGCACTGAGCCCTGAATGCCTCATAAAATAAACTCTGTAGGTACTATCCCTAACAACTGCTTTAGACAGCTTTAGGGAGGATAGATTCATCAATGGCTGATATTAAACAGAAACTCCATGCTCATAGGCAATAGCCTTCTGAATACCAGTGCCAGGAATACAGCAACAGGGAAAAGCTTTAGCCTCATATGGTTGGCCACTATGTGAAACAGAATGCTAGAGTAGATAGACCATCACTCTGACCTAGCAGGTGGTTTTTAATTTTATTTATTGAAATCCTTATACCTCCTTTTCTCTTCAATGGAGTCAAAAGCAGCTTACAACTTCATTCTCCTTTTCCCCATTTTATCCTCACAATATCCCTTAGGTAGGTTAGGCTACCTAGGGCCATACCACACTGAACATGCCCGATCTCATCTAATCTTGGAAGCTAAGCAAGGTCAGGCCTGGTTAGTACTTAGATGGGAGACTGCCTGGGTAAGTTAGGCTGAGAGAGAGGGATTGATCCATGATCACACAACAAGCTTTTATGGCAGAGTGGGAATTTGAATCTGGGTCTCCCAGGGTCCAGCCTGAAACGTTAAGTACTATACCACACTGACACACATTCCTTGGAGTACAGAAGGTTAAAAGTCTGTGTACCTATATCAGAAAGTTACCACACAGATATGGAGAAAAGGTGCTATATAGTTGAAATGTTTATAGAACAAACGATCCAAGAGCTGATAAGTAAAGCAAGTGGTGCTCATAGGAGCATTCTGCTAGCAAGACTAGCGTTATGTGGGATCATGGTGCTCAGAGAAGACAGGCCCTTTTTTGAAACCAAAAAATACACCTATTGTGACCTTCAATGAGCCCACATTTCCCACACTAGTGTTCATAACTGTACAATACTTACTGAAAAGAGCAATAGTCCAGTAGCACCTTAAAGACTTGTGGCAAGGTGCTGCTGAACTCTTGTTCTTTTCTACTGCTACAGATAGACTAACACAGGCTCCGGTCACACGGGCAGGAAACTGTGGGGGGGAAGCGTGGCTGTTTGCCCCGGGGCAAAGTAACATGCAGTTAAGCGATCAGACCTCCTGTGGAGGTTCTGTGGAGGTACCGTGGAGGTTCCGTGGGTAGGGAGAGGTGCCGATCACAGGACACGTCTGCGCGCAATGAAGCGCGCGGCGAACTGGTTTTCTTTTTTTGTGTACACTACGAATGCACATGCTCCGTTGGGTGCGTGTGCACATCCACGGAGACTTGGGGGGGGGAACCCTTTTTCGCAAGGGGACATGGGCGGGCGCCGGATGCCACCGGAAACGCGATCAGATGCCCGCCCTTGCCCCGCATTTTCCGGAAACAAGTACCTCCGAGGTACTAGTTTTTTGCTGCGTGTTTTCGGCAGGAAGCCTGGGTTGTGCCATGGAAGCGCTACGCTTCCCAGATGTGCTGGTGAGATCGCGCCCGGAAAATCCGCCTGTCTTCCGTATCTCTTGCGTGGCTAATGTTCTGTGTGACCGCAGCCACAGTTACCCATCTTGATCTACACTTATTGAAGTAATTATTTGCATGAAAAAGCCAGCTGCAGTAACATCTGCACCAGAGGAAAGATGGGACTTTTCTCCTTTACAGAGAGGTAGGTGTAATTGACAAACAGGCTGCATAACCTGGTCCACAACAGATCAATATGATATTCATAATATGCATCTTCTCTCACAACAGTTCCTGGGACAACAGCCATTTGTACTTGCAGCAAGTTAATTCCCATCACATGGGCAGTTTGGGCACTTTTGCAACAGATGTTAGGAATGCCTTTTAGCTTGTGATGCAATCTTCATAAAGAAAAGAACTATTGAAAATTACTTAAATTTCTTCTTGCCATTTAACTTGCAGATGTGGATCTTTAAAAAAGATTTGAATTCATCTTGTGATAAGCATGATGGCTTGCATGTGCAAGTGGGAAAATACAGCTGCAGACACTAAATTTGAATCCCAGAAGAAGCCAAACTTTATTTTTAAGGAAATGGTCTGACGTAATCCTCCTGACAGATATTAATAAAAGTTTCACTATGAGCCCAATTAACTCAGAGAACAGGTGATAAAATAAAGAACCTAAAACCTGTACAGAAGCTCAGATTGCCACCTCCCACAAGGGGTTGTCAACTGCCTGATAAATAATGCCCTGTACATTTAATGTAATAGTGATTTAATGGGATGTTATTTACTAAGCAATGTTAATTTAACTCCATGCCATGAAAAGCTTCACCTGCCCATTTGCACACATTAAGCCTCTATTAAAGGGGCAGGACATTTTTCTTCTAGCTGTGTTGGTAACCCTACTACCATGGGGAGAAATTTAACCATCAGAGTTTCCTTGGCTTGGAAATGACATAGGTTTCCCCTGTCTAATTACTGAGGAGACATGATGTTTTGTGAACAGTGTCCTAGCATGCAAATGGGAAATATTTCACCATCTGAATTTCTGCCTATGGTGCAAGTGTTCAAGGGATGAACGAGGAGGCACTACCACATACATTAAGAAGATCCGAGTTTTGCCCCCATACAAATAAACAAATGGTGTGGGAATGCTGAACCCTGGAGGCTTTACCCCACCGAGACTGGCATAATAGTTGTCAGCACTGTAAGCAACAAAAATCATGAGCTGAACCATCCGATAGGAAGCAGACGGGGCCTTCGGAAATGGAAAACATCCCCCACCCCCACCCCCCGTTACCCTCTTCTGTGCAGCTCCTGCGACATGGAACCGGCGTCTTCTGCTTCCCGGTTTCGCCGCAAGAAGCTCAGGCACTCGTGCAAGTCTTTCTCGAAGCTATCGACCACCGGGTTCCCCGGACCCACCGGCCCATAAAAGATAGCAGGCGGTGGGGGAGGCCGGGAAGGGGACCTGGCCCGCGCTTTAGGAGCCTCGGCCATCGTGGCTTGCCCAAGAAGCAGCACGCTCACGGTTGCTAGGAAACGGAGCAACAGACAGCGAGCGAGCGAGCAGGGAGAGGGGGCGGGGCCGCGAAAGGAGAGTTTGTGAAGTGAAAGCTCGCTCGCCCGGTTTGCCTGCGCCTGCGCACTGTTGTGTCTTCGCGCGAGAGATTGGACGGCGACATATTGCATACGGCAAGTGCGTGTGTGTAAAAGCCGGCTGGTAACAAATACCTGGGTGAATGTTCGGTTTAAATCGCGCGTTCTGTGAGGCTGTAAAAAAAATTCCTGCATCTGCTTACAAAGAAAAACAATGTGTCTTTGTTTTGGATTCACTGTAATGTGTGTACTGGACAGTACCCATGACAGGGGAAATACTTTCCTATTGTGTATTGTCACGTAAATAAACTTGTTTGGGTGGAGGAGAAAACATAGGTCAGGGCTGATACATTTATAACTCAAAGGTACTATTTATTGCATGTGCTGTTTATTAAATATCTGCAACTTTTTCAGTACCATAATTATTGTGTGTGTTTAGTTTATTGAGTACTTGGTATATTTTTGTTAGCTAGCTATTAAGAATTTGTTCTTGGCTCTTACAGTGTAGAATGTTATATCTTGCAGAGTCCTGCTTCACCTTTGCATATTTTTCATGGTGCACCATGTCCAATGTTCCCTGTAATTTTTTTCCCCTACTTAGTGGAGCAGTTCACATCCTGTGCAGAATATAATTGCTGTTATCTTAAAATGGGCAATGGGCAGTGCAAGACCCTTTGCAGCTCCAGACTGCTGCTGAGCAGGGCTTCCTGTGTTAATAGTGGCCACTCATGCACACAGTTTAGAGGGAACACTGAAGGATTCCAGTGAGATCAAGACAACGCACACATACTACTAGGTAAATTTGCAAGTTAATCTTCTAGATTATGAATCACCATAGTGCACTATTCTTGCAATGGCAGATAATTAAGTTAGGGTTGCCAGCCTCCAAGGTGAGATATCCTGGAATTGCAACTAATCTCCAAACAACAGAGCTGTAGCCTTGTTCAGTATCTCTTTGGTCTCTTGGCCCTGCAGTTCTTAGCCATGGTCTCAGACTGGAGGATCCATCCCAGAACCTTAGTTACAATACAGTATTTATGGATATTAATCATCCTTATTAAATTGCTATGTGATTATTTTCAATAGTTGTGTATCTACATTTCTGTAAAATGAGATACCTGTGGATCAGGGCACACTCTGCCATGAGTCTAATAGACCAAATTCATACAGATCCTGCATGTTATATAACGTCCTCCTACAAAGAGGAAAAAGGAATATGTAAACTGAAGATATTCTTATTCTCAGGTCCCCAAATGATATAGATGAGTGGTCTCCGATGTGGTGCCTGCCAAATGTTTTTAGACATTGGCAGGGCCAGGTGAGGTTTTTGTCCAGCAAGGCTTCTGATTGGCCACTGGATATTTGATTGGCTGTGCAGATTTTTTTAAATGTTGCTTTGGCAGCAGCTGCCACCACAGCACAAAGCACTGTGTGACTGAAAGTAAGCTGTGGGAGCCATGCTGTGGCTGCATTCACCATGCTGTGTCAAAATTCCAAAGGTTCCCACAGGCTCAATAATAGGGTTGCCAATCCTGAGTTGGGGGTAAGGGATTCCCTGGGTTGGAGTCCCTTCCCCCGCTTCAGGGCTATTGGGGGGGGGGCTGCTGGGCACTGCATTATAGCCTATGGAGATCAGTCCCCGTAGGGTATAATGGAGAATCAATCCATGGGTAACTGGGGCTCTGGGAGGCTGTTCTTTGAGTTAGATGCACCAGATGTTCAACATAACTGCTGGTGCCTCTCCTAAAAAAAACAAACCCCACCCAGGTTTCAAAAAGATTGGACCAGGGGGTCCAATTCTATGAGCCCTAAAAGAAGGTGCACCCATCCTCCATTATTTCCAGGGGAGGAAAGGCATTTTAAAAGAACACAGTCCCTTTAAATGTGATGGCCAGCTAACCTGGAACTTGCCCGCCCCTCTCCCAGAGCCTCCTGGTAAGTCCCCCACTGGCTTATCGGCCTCACCTGGCAACCCTACTCAATTAAGTTGGTATGCAACCAAAGTAGGACTGACTGAAACACAAGTTTATATACTACAGGTCCAAACTGCAGCAAGTAGGCAACTCAAGAATATAATTGGGCAGCTGGCAGCACCAATCATATGCAGTTCCTTTGATAAGGAGAAGAATGCAGCCTATAATGAATCCATTACGGATTTGTTTGTTTATCTGAAATCTTTAAAGGCTGCCGTCCTACTTAAAACTAGCCTGAATAGCCCAGATTAACCTGAAACCATTAGTTTGGAAGCAAAGCATGGCCATAGTTAGTACTTGGATGACAGAAGACCAGCGAAGAACTAGGTTGCTATGCAGAGGCAGGCAATGGCAAACCACCTCTACAGCTAACTTACGATGACCATGTAGGGTTTTCAAGGCAAGGGACATTTAGAGGTGGTTTATCATTGCCTGCCTCTGCTTAGCGACCCTGGACTTCCTTGGTGGTCTTCCATCCAAATACTAACCAGGGCGGACCCTGCCCATCTTCCAAGATCTGACAAGATTGGGCTAGCTTGGGCCATCTAGGTCAGGACAATCTCCCCCCCCACATATATACTTTTAATTTTAGAAAACAAAGTACAGAAAGACGAAAAGGATTATATAACATAATTGTGTATATCAAAGATAATTATATCCCCTTCATTATAATTCATTTTAGTTTTTAAGAAGAAGAAGAAGAGATTGGATTTATACCCCGCCCTTCACTTGGAGTCTCAGAGCGGCTTACAAACGCCTTTCCCTTCCCCTCCCCACAACAGACACCCTGTGAGGTGGGTGGGGCTGAGAGAACTCTGACACAAACTGCTCTTTTTCAAGGACAGCTGTGCCAGAGCTTGTGACTGACCCAAGGTCACATCAGCAGGTGCAAGTGGAGGAGTGGGGAATCAAACCCGGTTCTCCCAGATTAGAGTCCGCACACTTAACCACTACACCAAACATTGTCTATAAAATATAATGCTCCTTACTTTTGTTGTGGTACATTTATATTCAATATTTTAGGTTTCAAATTTCATAACTAATCTATTTTGCAACTACGTTATTAGTTTCATTATCACTACACATTCAGTATTACTTATTTTCGCTGCTTTTATATACCCACTATAATTTTTACCAGGTAATATATCAAAATACAAAGGAAAGTTTGTTATATATCGTAATAAAAAATAAGAGGTTTCTGCTCAAAATCCACTTCCTTATATGTTTATATTTAAAATGTTACATTTAAAATTTGTTATGCTGGATTGCAATACATTTATGTACAATTTTTTAATGGTTTCTGATTCTAAATTTGTCTTCTGCTTGTGTAAAATACACGCCATCTCTCATCAGATTTTGTAATTGATCTGTTTCTCAAATTTCGCCATTGCTGCAAATTTGACAAGTTTAATTTCCAATTCTTCTAAGTGTGGACAGACGTCTAGTTTCCATTTTGCTGCGTAGATAAAACCTAGGGCAATCATTATTATCCTAGCTGGCCATGATAAAGGACAAAAACGGTAGGGACCTAACAGAAGCAGAAGAGATTAGGAAAAGATGGCAAGAATACACAGAAGAACTATACAAGAAAGACCTCAATGTCCTTGACAACCACGATGGTATAATCACTGACCTCGAGCCAGACATCCTGGAATGTGAAGTTAAATGGGCCTTAGAAAGCATTACTAACAACACAGCTAGTGGAGGTGATGGTATCCCAGCTGAGCTATTCAAAGTCTTAAAAGATGATGCTGTTAAAGTGCTGCACTCAGTTTGCCAGCAAATTTGGAAAACGCAACAGTGGCCACAGGATTGGAAAAGGTCAGTATACATTCCAATCCCAAAGAAGGGCAATGCCAAGGAATGTTCAAACTATCGCACAATTGCACTCATATCACACGCTAGCAAGGTCATGCTCAAGATCCTACAAGCTAGGCTTCAACGGTACGTGGATAGAGAACTACCAGAAGTACAAGCTGGGTTTCGAAGAGGTAGAGGAACTAGAGATCAAATTGCCAACATTCACTGGATTATGGAGAAAGCAAGAGAGTCCCAGAAAAACATCTACTTCTGCTTCATTGACTATGCTAAAGCCTTTGACTGTGTGGATCACAACAAACTATGGCAGGTCCTTAAAGAGATGGGAGTACCAGACCACCTCACATATCTCTTGTGAAACCTGTATAAGGGCCAAGAAGCGACAGTTAGAACCGGATACGGAACAACTGATTGGTTCAGCATAGGAAAAGGAGTACGACAAGGATGTATACTGTCACCTTGCTTATTTAATATATATGCAGAGTACATCATGCGAAATGCTGGCCTGGATGAATCACAAGCGGGAATTAAGATTGCTGGGGAAAAGATCAACAACCTCAGATATGCAGACGATACCACTCTAATGGCAGAAAGTGAAGAAGACCTAAAGAGCCTCTTGCTCAGGGTAAAAGAGGAGAGCGCAAAAGTGGGCTTGAAGCTCAACATCAAAAAAACTAAGATCATGGCATCCGGCCCCATCACTCCTTGGCAAATAGAAGGGGAAGTCGTGGAAGTAGTGACAGACTTCACGTTCCTGGGATCCCAGATCACCGCAGACTGTGACTGCAGCCATGAAATTAAAAGACGCCTGCTCCTTGGGAGGAAAGCGATGGCGAACCTAAACAGCATGATAAAAAGTAGAGACATCACCCTGCCAACAAAAGTCCGCATGGTCAAAGCAATGGTATTCCCAGTAGTCATGTATGGCTGCGAGAGTTGGACTATAAGGAAGGCCGAGCGCCGAAGAATAGATTCTTTTGAACTATGGTGCTGGAGAAGACTCTTGAGAGTACCTTGGACTGCAAGAAGAACAAATCAGTCAATCCTAAAAGAAATCAACCCTGACTGTTCCCTGGAAGGCCAGAAAATGAAAATGAAGCTCTAATACTT